TAGTGCCCATAATAAGTGGCGCACGTTCTTTCCACCAGCCAGCAGCCGCCGGTGTGCGCGAGCACACGCAACAAAAATGACGTCACAGACCTCCATTCGCGGTTGGGATGACAGTGAAATGCATGGGCTTCGGACTAAAGGAGAATAAAGACAGGCTTTTCATCTCTACAAGTGAAAGCTACGTGCTTGTTAGACCAATTCATCGCTTACTTTTTACACCAGGCACCACTGTGTAGATAAAAACCTTGTCTTTATTCTCCTTGGTCCGAAGCCCATACATTTCACTGTCATCTCAACCACGAATGGAGGTCTGTGACGCCATTTTTGTTGCGTGTGCTCGTGCACACCGGCGGCTGCTGGCTCGTGGAAAGAACGTGCGCCACTTATTATGGACACTAAATTCCTTGGTTCAGTATCCCTTTAAGAATTGAAACAATTTTTCTCGATCTGAAAAAATACAACTTTTATTGCCGGGCTTGACCGATGAGGCAGGGCTTTGCGGGCCCCTAAAATGCCTTCGCGGACCCCCATTTGAGAACCACTGCTCTATTCGATTCGCAGCACACTTTTGCTGTTCGAATGATTTGAGTTAAAAAAAAAAAAAAACATTAGAACTGGATGCAATTCGTTCCACATTAAGTCCGACGACAGTCAGCACATCGATACGGCCAGCCAATCAAGCAGCGGGAAAATTGCATGGTCACGGCGCTCGTCGTTTTTGTGCGTCTGCTTTTCTCCGGCTGGATCAATCACGCAGAGAAACAAGCGCAAGATGACGCCGCATTCTCTGTGCGCGATTGATCTAGCCGGTGAAATAGCAAACGCACGCAGACGACGAACGCCATGACGCTCCTTTTGGTGCCGACCTCACGTTGAATCTCTTCAGAATTCTCCGCGTTCTTGCGTCAAGCTTCGCTGCTTCGCATCGGCGCTCTGGCGTGAAGCTTCACCTCATCGTCCCTGCGCGAGCGCGTCGAGCTTCGCCCAGTTCACCTGATGTGCTGGGAGAAACACTGGTCTCATGTTTTTGGCTAACTCTTTTAGGTCGGCCCTCTTTATTTTATAGGTACAGGTCGACCCCTGATTTTAAAGGGCAGTGCCTATAATGAAAACATCTCGAACAATATTTAAATAAATAGTCATTGCTTTGGTTTCCATGTTACCTTATCGCCTGTACAGAACTCGTCGCTCTTTTAACGAAACCGGCCCTGATGCTAGATACGTGTCCGTCCGCCCGATCGGGTGACGTGACGCCGAAATATCACGTGACACTATGAATTCACATTGTGACGTCACATCACGTGACCACGACACGCGAGGTCACCGCTGGACACCGTGACGTCACGGTGTCCAGCGTGACGTGACGTGACGTCCAGCGTGACGTGAGGTGACTTGACGTCAGGCTATTAGTGACGCCACGACTCGAGACCTTGGCGTGACATCATGTGACCGCATCATGTGACGTCAATTTCCGCGATAATTTTGAAGGGGAAACGGATAAACAATATGTTCTCGTTCACCCCCCAAAATGACTGAAGAATGTCTTCGACACAAATTTAAACGATTGCGCATTACCTAGTGCATTCCATGAGTAATACACATTTTCAACAAAGACGCAGCCATCTTGAATGTCGTCACTTCTGGTATGCGGTAAAACATCGTTTTGACCTCTCCACGCCGCTGGAAGGTGTTTACGGAGGATGCGTGATTGTCACACATTTTTGTTTTGGCTCACCTATATTTTTCTCGCGTTTTCCAGGTTGAAAGTTTTATCATTGTTGCGTCCCGCATACCAGATGCGAAACCCACGTGACTGAGAACTACCAGAAACAGAAAAGTCTACATGACTTAGGAGATAAAGGCCGCTGCATTGATTTTGAAACATGTGGTGCTCTCGTTATGACACGCAGGGTTCGTTCTTCCCTGGAGATTTTGAAGAAAAAAAAAAAGGCTTCCGATAGATTTCAGCATTGTTTTAGGAAAAAACCCATAGGCCGGCCAGAGAGTTATTATAATGTACGCTAGGGGTTCAACTGGCGCTAGTGTCTATGCGACTTCCGGGATGGACAATGAAGCAGACACCAACCAGTCTACTTTTGTGGTGCTCCTGTACTACATTCCTAGGGGAAAACGCGCGTGCATTTTGTTTCTTCGCCGATAACACGCATCACTTTTTTTATTTGGACCGTACCAAATAATATGCACCTTTATTAACACTGTAAAAGTGTACTTGCTTTGGTTACAGCATTTTTCTCCATCAGTGAACGATGTTAAACTTAGTTATATTTCAGGCCCAAACCTGTGTTCCGCACAAGGTGTGTACGAGCGACGAATCTAAGCAAAATAAAAATCAAAAGGAATGATAGAGTGTGTTCAAGGCTCGCCAGCTTTCCGGTGACGCTTATAATATAATGCTAATATGCCAGTTCAGACATACTTATGAAAATGACCCCCTGGTGCACCTTTACGAGCGGTTAAAACATTCAAAACGTAAAAAAAT